CTGTCACCGCATAATTACGATTACGGATTTGTTCCATGATTATGCGGCATATCTATCAGTGCACAGTTGCGTACTATTGAGATCAAATGCTTCTGTGATTTGATCATGCCTTTCCGGTACCACTATTTGCACGACTTTGTTTAATTCACACGTGAAATGCATCTGAACGTTTTCTGTGGCGAATACCTTAAGCTCAACGCATGGCAAAGCCTCATTCAGGGTATTCGTGGTTGGCGGATTTTCATCTTCAGATTCTTGGATGAATATTACAAGAAGATTTTTGAAGAGTTTCGAATCGCACATCGATAGAAATTCCGTATTTCGTTTCACTTATTCATGATGAAACGTTCGTTGCAAACACTTCAATTTGACTCCTTTTTTACACTCGTCGTGCTAATTCTCAATCAAATGCATGTGATACCTTCATGATCTACTTGCGGGCAAAATGGTAGGTATTTTATCATTGTATCCTGATAAGTTCTTCACATATTAAGGACTTGTTCTGAAATATCGTTCGCAAAATAGCGCATTCATTTGGTTTCCTATTCTTCTCCCGTATGAAATTCACTGCCTGCGATTGATTCTATTATCAGTTCTTGTGCCAGACCAATTATTTTCTTTCGTGAACCGTAAACTACACTCATCGAATTTGCTGGCTCCGAATATGCTCATTGATGATTAATTGTTTTCTCAACAAGTATTTATTGACAATCTTATTTACACCAAATAGTTTGTGATACTGTTCAATTTTAGAATATTCACGCGATTGCGTGAACATACGCATAAACAAACGTGCCGTGCCGTTGCTCTTCTCAAAACATATCCTTCAATTTCATGCCTTGTTCTTCGCAGTGAACGAAACGGGTAAGGGATGATACGCACTTGATAATGTTCCTCAACATTACACCAACTAGCAAGTCATCCGTAAAAAAANAAAAAAAGCAATTGTTGAACCATAAATTCGCATCTGAACCGCAAAACAAAGAGCCTTCAGTCATAAATTCGCATCTCAACCTCGAAAAAGTGACACCCAATAAATATTAAAACGCCCTTGTTGTACCGCTAATTGAGACGATTAATCAAGAATGAGGCCCGAGAATGTTGTTGCATTCGAAGTGGACGGCACAACTGCTAAACATGCCAACATCAGTAAGTTTCGTACATCCAGCACCACTGACGACTCCGCTTATCTTCTACTTCGACGTCAAGTGATGAACCTGCTGCCAGTTCTGCCAAACAGCACATATTACAAGTAAGTCTTCTTGACAGTTACCATTTCGCATTGTTCTTCTACTGTCTGCAACAAGATTGCATCTGAAGAACTATGAATTAGAAGGGTGATGAGTGTGTTAATAAGTGCTAAAAACATTCCATTTTCCTTGCGAAAGCCTTTCATTGACAAAGCAGACACTATTTGTTGTACTTTTGGTACGGGAAACACTCCAGTCGCAATTTACCTTTTGTTCAAGGATGCGTTGAAGTGTTATGAGGAAATGAGCATGTGTCCATTGTTGGACTGTGTCTGCTATGTGATCGTCATCGTCATCTGCTTGACATCATTTATTAATCATTTAATTCGAACGGAATTTGCTAATGTCTGATTGATGCTGACATTCGAGGAATAGCGAAGTCATTGCTGAGCGAACAAATTCAAGCCTTTATTCAATTATTCAAGCGTTCATTTGAAAGGAAGCTCGGTCACAACGAATGATAGTTTTTTTTTCCATTTCCGTGAGAGGCCGAAGATTATGCGTCAAATGATTATGCGTCGTTGGTGATAATTTCGATGCATTGCCGTGAGGTTCGTCCGTTTCAGAAGCTGCTTCAATTGTCTTGTGATCATTTTTTGCCAGCTCGTAGAGCAGCTCGTATTTTCCATGCAGCGATACGCGATGTTTGCTAACATAACGCAGCGATTCAAGGTGAATCTATCTAACTATTAAGAAAGCTGTAATCGATTTATACATGAGATGCTAGAATGACTGAAGAAGGAACATGCAAGCTTGCTGTAACATAAGCGCAAATCAAATATCAACCCAACTGATATCACATTTCAAGTTATCATCATCTGCTTCCGTCGGAAGCATTCATGAAGATTTCATTTTCTGGACTTCCGATTACTCTCAACTCAGATACGTATACACGCTGACATCATATCCGCCGTCCTCTCTGTTTTCAATACAATGTTTCCCTCGTGATGTTTTTGGTTATATATCATAAACGTTTCAGCCAAAGCAGAAGCCATGCATACTCATCAGGTAGCAAGTAGAGACTTAACTAACGAAGTATACGCAAACAAACTAGGGAACGGATGCAAAAAAAACGGTGAAGTCAGTCAAAGGAGCAGTCAGTGATTTCTTATTAGTAATTTCTTAATTCGGAAACCATGCGCGGCTATCATAATTTGCAATCAGCCTTAACGCAGTTCCACTCCACATTCGTCAGCAAATAATAATGATAACACTCCAATTGTGCACAAAAATGCGAACATGATGCACAGCTGGACGTAAATTGTTCCATGGAATATATTCAAAGGTAATCATAATTTTTGCTGTTTGTCAGCCACAAGTATGTCCGTAATTGTTGTGCATTCGAGTGAGTGCTCAAGTCGAAGTGCTTGTGTGTGTGTGTCCTGCCTGGAACTGCAATCGATTTTAGCAATATTATTGTTATTTTATTATTGTTATCATTAAGTGGAAACAGCATCCAAACACTTACAAATAGTTCTGAATATTATCACTTCAAGTCAACGTACTAAATGTATTCTGCAAAGATACAAAGCATCGATTTCATTTCTGTTACTTCGTTATTAATATATTAATATCGCGGATAGTTGTTTTGGCCATCTCAAGCATCATCATCATCAGCAGCAGCAGCTCATCATCTCATTAGCAGAACTCACCTATCATTGTAACTTCGGATTGTTCTCAACCGGAGTACTGACTCACTGCTCGCAGCATATTTACATGGGCCAATAAAACGCGAACATGTTCTCTGAGCCAACCGCACTCAGTTGCTCAATTTACGTCATCTGAATCTGGAAATTTATTTGATGAACACTGGTGAATGAATCATTCGTAATAAATGGCTACTGTCTACGTTGTCTTATTGAGCTATTAATAACGAACTCCATGCTATTGACCAACATAATCACTGTCAACAACAACAACAAGCTTCAGGCATTTAATGCCTGCCTGTGTTTATGAGTGCATTATGGAAAAGGAGAAATTCGATTACAAAATGATTCCATGAATTGTTTCCGCATTTAGGCACCACACCATTCTCTATCGATCCCGATGTGCTGCTTTGATTGTCAGCCGCGAATCAGTTCTTTTTGCTCTCCAAAAACCCTATTTAGTAACCAACAATTAATTCAGGCTCAACAGGTAGACTACAAACCAGCCGTTTGTCGTGATCGTCCTCCGTCCAACACCGTCAGTAGGATTAATTCCTGTAAACTTCATAAGCTAAAGGCTTCATTCGCACTCATTTTTGTTGATGTTGTTGATTCCAATGTTCTGATTGAGGTGTTATTAATTCCCCAACCGACTATACCACTTCTATCTTGAGGAATAGCATCAATATTTCCGATCGCAATCCGAAAAAATGCCCTTTCTTCGAACAATCCGAAGTCATAGAATCTGTTGGCGCTTATGGCTTCCACTTGAAAAACATTTTAGCTAAGTTGTGTTGAGTCATTCTGCTGACCTTGCTCATAGTTTGCTGTTCGCATTGAGGGAATAGTGTACCACTTTTAATAATCGCAAACATTCTAGGCTTATTGCATTCACGGCAGGCAGCATTGGTCTGCGAATAATTGCTGGAATCAACACTTCTAAAACTGCGCAACGTTTTATTAGATTGCTCGAATCACGCTACTGAGTTCCTAAACGCTTATAAGGTTCACAATTTGGATTTAACCCTATCCACTTCCTCTAGAGCCCGCTCGCCTGCTTCCATTGCAGTGTTCGCAAGAAATTCACCACTTCATTTGATGCATGACGCTCCTCAAAATATCAGATTGTTCATGCGATTGATCTGACAATCATTTGATCAGTGATCCCATGGATGCTTTCCAAACTGATTTCCGAGCAATTGTCGATGTTCAATTAATGCTTCATGTATCATTGCTGCAGCTACAGCTACCAGGAGAGATTGATATTTCTATATTGGTGACAATTAGAACAGATCCATACACTCACTCGTTTTGCGTCATCATTTTAGAAGTATGTGCAGAAATGAGTTAGTTGACAATTTGAAAAAGGACTTATAATGACGGCACTAGTTGAGATTAGCGTTCAACTGATAAATATTTCAAATATTTCGATCGATAAATATTTCACAGAACTGTTTGCTTGCCGTTTGCATAGCAAATTTAATTATTATTCAGTTCTGCGCAAATTACTACTCAGTTTTGGTCATTGCTGACGACGACGACAACTTATTTGTGGAGGAGCCATTCTGAGACGATTGCGCTGCTCGCACTCATTCTTGTCAATGGTGCCAGTGATTCTGCGACAACACACTCAAATCTTGCGATTCTCATCGTAAACGGGAACATTACCAATCAACAAATCACCTTTCCTTTCAATGCTATCTGCAATCCATCATCGTTGCTTCGTCACAAGTGCCACAAAATGTTCAAGTATTCCTCATGTTCTGATGTTTGAAACACTATCGATATTAATTGAACGTACTTGGGTGCTGACGTATAGCAAGGAATCGCTTGGCATTCATGTGAATTTCTAAAAATCATCATCGCCATTCTTCCTCAACAATCACGTCTCTGTGTTCTTCATGGAATCACTTTCATCTTCAGTTATGCCACTGAAAAGTTTCAAAATGCACTTGGTTGACGATACGAGACTAATCCACTGTTCGTGAGCTGTGAACGTTCCGAATCTTTCGTTTTCAAGTGCTTTGTATTGCATTGAAAGTGCATTTTGTTGTATCTGGGCGAGGTTGGAATATAGAACTGAAATTCGACGAATACGTCAAAAATGAATACGGCTCGTGCAAATGTGCAAGCGATCAACTCGTTGAGCCATTCTCCCCAACAGCGTCGAGACATTGTTGGTCTTTATACGAGTGCCTCAACACTGCACTTGCCTAAAAGACCGTCAATTACGCAGAGTGTCTATTCGATTCGAAATCCATCAGTAGCACACCAAGTCAATTCGGCTAGCAGCACATCACGAACTAGTAGCGCTGCTAAAGACACTCAGCACTCAGTTCGTGAACTTCTACGAATTGCTCGGTGAGTTTATTTGATCAACAATGCTTGACTCTTGTAAAAATGATCGCCTGGATGCTTGTATGCGACAAGCCTACTTGCAATAGCCTTCTCTCACTCAGTTATATATTACTAACCAGATGAAATCTCAAATTTCCAGTATATTCATCAGAATTGTCACAAAATTTCATAGTTTTATCATAACATTCTTTGTCTTGTTTCATTCTCTGATCCTTGCAAGTGCTGGTTTCTATTAGGCAGTGCTAGTGTTGAACCTAGGGGAATTAGGCATCTTGATTTCATACTGAGGGAAAAATGATCATTTGAGTAACATGCATGAGCTGAGGATAAATAAAACGGCTATATAAAAAAAAACTTTCTTCTCAATGTATATGCGCTATCCCTCGAATTGTAATAAACTGATGTAGCTGATTCCATAGTACTAAGGTAGCTACAGATGTTTGATAATATCTTGTATTTATGCCGAAAAGGTTATTTCCAACTGAATCTCCGTTCGGCAACAGAGAAACTACAATCTGCGAGCGAAGTTGATTAGCTTTCGGAAGTCGAAATCATAAATTATGTCTGAAGATCACAAAATGTTCTGCAATACAGCCCGAGTTTCGTGCAAAAGCCGTACATACTGAGTTTGCGTGGCCATATTGTCTTGTTGACGTTACAGTGACCATTCAGCATTGAGAGGCATTAAGCAATGTTTTCTACCCAGTAGACAAGAGCTATTTCAGTGGAATGGAGTTGTGCCGTGAACATGGTTGGTAAGTAACTGTACGGACTGTGCTTTGCAAGATCTGAGCGAGATATCTTGAGATGCCTGGTTGCATTGTTATCTTTTATGTGACCTGTGTAGATCACACTAAATTGTTGGAAGGCAAAAATGTTGGTGTGAAGTTGAAAACAAGAAAATTCACAAAAAAANAAAAAAAGCTTACAATAGAGCGTCCGGTAAAAGATATGAAGTAATTAGTTGGGTGAGTATCAAAGGGACACCTTAATCAATGTATATGCCGCGAATTGAGCAGAATGAACAAATGTAATGGTTATGATAACCGTTCAAATGATTTTTCCTGATACTTCAAATCCGATCAGCATTTTTAGACCGCAATTGTAGAACTCAAAGTCGTCTTCGACGCTACATGAAAAAATATTCAACAAGTTTCAAATCACTCACTAATTGTGCAAATAAATGAACAGTTTTTGTTGAAATACTTTCATCTTTAAGACAGCGCTGTAGACGGCAACCATTCCATCGAAGCTAAGAAAAAATAACTTCAATACTGCGCGGATGCTAGTCGAAGTTTTCAGAGTTGCTTGTGAATCACAATGTTGCATTCTGATTTTTTGCAACATCAGGAAAGTCGTCAAGCGACAGCATCGTCAGAAAGTCAACAAAGAAATGTTTTAACTATGACATTTTACACTTCAGAATGTCGTTGTTCGAAAAAATGTCACTCATAAAATGATCAGCTTCGTTGAGGCTCATCTATTTTATAGAGGCAACTAACTGTTCGCTTGCAATTTTGTTGTGATTCCAGTAGGCACATTTAACGAAGTGGCTTTGATTAAGTGGCAAAATGCTTGCGTTTATTCACTGTTTAAAACATTGCCGACGAATTATTAACATTGTGAGTTCCCTTTGAGAGTTTGCTACTGTTTAGATGTTGGTATTTTGAACAGCAATAAGTTCAGTGAATTGAGCACTGCTCTCCAGAGTCGTCATGCTTGCTTGGCCATTTGCATGCACCATTTATCATTGCCTTTGTTTCAAGTAATTCTCAGCTCACACACACACATTGATTTTCACAATTTCCTTACGTCATTACTGCAAAATGTCCAACTATGCACTTTCGGTTACCGATAATCACCGAAACAATCACCTTACTATAAACGATCACAGCTAAAATTCCAACGTTACGTGCTTGCTTGAAGTGCAACGTTCAGATGCGGTTCAACAGATTAGCGTTCTTCTAGGATTGAGGAGATTTTCCCGTCGAGTATTTTTATGATTAATTGCTCCTTGAACAACACCATATTCACATGGTATGCCCATTTGCATGAACGCATAATGCGCTGATAAGCGTATTCCAAAACTAGAATCCAACTAGGAATTCTGGATCTCACATTTGCCTGTTGCATGCGCAACCTCAAAATACATCGCGATCCTTCGTGATGTCATTTCAGCAGAGTCTAGTTCACTGTTGTTCGTTGGCAGCAGGAAAAGTCAACAGGGATTCAAGCTTCATATGAAGTGAGCAAATAAATGCGGATGCATAATGCGTAAAAAAGTTCGTAAAAGTTATTTATCCATTCGCTTGCACAGCAACAAAAAAATATCATCAAAAATGTCACATTTCATCAGAGTCAGAAATTGCTTTTCTCTTAACGCTGTCCAGATTGAGCGGATGACTGAGAAAACATGGAAGATGCTTTAAGTGAGTTTGGAATGTGAAATGGATGATGAAAATGACCTAGAGCGATCACCTTCATCCACAACTGCATGAGCTTCCTGGAACTCAGCAATCGTAGCCCTGTTCTTACGGATATGTGAAAACTAAGCGTGTTTTCATTAACATGCACATCGTTCAAATACATTGGACTGTGCGAATTCCATAAGCAGTCGTTGCCGGTTGGATGAGTTGAATTACACAGATAACTTTCTTCAATGATCCTTGAAGAATTCAACTGAAGCCATTTTAAGCACACTCAATCAAAGCAGAGTCAAAGTGGAATTATAACATACGAAGACGAAGAAAAAGAAGCCATTTTGTCGCTGATGAAATGCCATCGACATCATGTATTGAAATGAGTCAGAGTTGACTGAATAACGGGTAAACAACGTCAGCAACACGTGAAGCCATCAAAATGTGCTGTGATTGTCCGAAATTGACTGCCGAAAGATGTTTAGAGAACTAATCTGCTGAACCCGATAATGAGGCGAAGCACAAAAACATAGGCAAAAAGCAAGTTGAGGGTGATGGCGACGGTGAAACTGTGAGGCACNTGCTTTTTCGACGAGACTACTAGCATTTACGATCTCGTTTGTGCTTAGTGCTTTACGCTTCTGATAATGATGCTGAGTGATGTCATTTACTGAAGCTCACAATAAGATAGAACTAATAATAATAGATCCGTAGATGCAGGCAGCCCTAGAGTAGATTAAAAATGCTCTCCGAAAAGATTTGCAAGTAAAAATGCGATTATCTGCACAAACTTTGTTGCTCGCTTGGCACAGTGCAGCCATCAGTAGTCAGCAATAGGCGTTTTCAATCGTTTTTCGCACCCCAAAAATCGTTCCACTTCTCCATCTTCCGCATTTTTGGTATTGGAATAATATTCATTTTCTTATCTTGCTTGTTGTCACCCATCAGATTTTAACTCGACATCATTTTGTATTTCGCGAATTGCATCAAATATTCAACCGGATTCATCAGCTAAAATTTTTCATTTCACATTATCTGCTAAAGTCATGAATTTCAAGGCGTAACTATTGAAAAGATTTCCCGATTATGATCGGAATCCATTGCAATACTATTAGTGATTCGTTCGATTTGCGTTTATTTGGTAAACGCTCTAAACTATCTTGTATTTATTACTATTTGTTAAAGGCAAATAGCACTGTGAATAGAGACAAGCCATTCTTGAGATGGCGTTCATTAATTAAAAGTTTTGGGATTTGCTGAGATTGGACTGGGATTGCTTATGAAAACATTAACTGTGGAATTGATGGTCAGTGCTAGCCGCGATAACTGAAAGCTATCCACCGAGCGCTGGTCGAATCACGAATGCAATGAATCAGATTGATTTTGTAACATTGATCATCCGTTGTTCCCAACTTGAAATGAGCATATTATCGAGGTGTTAGATTCATTCGGAGGAAAAAATTGGCGTTTCAAATTCGCAGTTTGAATGGTACGATTTCTAAATGAGTCATTTGAAACACTTGTGGAATTGCTTTCTCTTGTGAATTGTTCTTGTTGAGGGAGCTTCAAAGCTATGAGACACCTATTGATTGACAAACCATTGCAGTTGAGTTTAGAATGAATTGTGCTAAATGAGGACGGGTATCCATAATCGCTGTTTGGGTTCAAGCACTCAGATCTCAAGATACATGAAGTTCGGTAAGCCAAAACGATCCAGACATTTGGTTTTACACTGATCAGGAGAATTGATTAGGAACTGAACCGTGAAGTTGCTTACTATTCATTGGGCATTTTTAGAAGCGTAATCCTCGGAAGCGGTAATTGAAGGTGCATCATAATCCTAGCGATCAAATGCATCCAATTCCCAAAAACAATAAATTTCTGTATTTATCACAGTCTGAATCGCTATAAATCATCTCCCTTTATCCAGTAATCCTTCCGCGTGAAATATATCTCCTCTCGAATATTCAACCAGCGATAAATTACTGAAGAATTGTGCCGTCGATGTTAGGAAAGATAGCACAAGTAATTTATGAAATTTCATGCTCATACTCTTTATGAGTTGGTCTCAACTGTAGACGGGTGGAGGAGTGACGGCTTTTAGAAGTGCCAAAAGCAGCAAGACTATTTGCAGACTGAATCGATTGTTGATGTAGTAGTCTATCGTCGCTTTTAGCTCTTCTACTTGTATTCATCGTGGATGTGATCTGTTGATCCAAAATGCCGCTGTCTACAATACAATTCTTTCATGCTTTGCGTGAACATCGGCATTTTCACAATTCCATATGAATTACAATAGTCCTTGGTAGTAATCACTTCACCTGATCGGTTAGATTTAGAATATCCCCTTTGGTGTCGTCACCTGATTCTGATAAACTGCTTCATTTCCTTCTCTTTGTATTCGCCAAATCAACTCTCATCCATTCATTTTGGCTCGTCTTCAATGCAGCTAGCTCTGTGTTTCAAGTGAATGTGACCTAGGAAAGCCAAAGATTGCTGTGAGTGAGAAAATGATGACATCTTTTGTTCAATATTCTAAATGTTCAAAGAACCACATTGAGCAGAACATGGCCGTTAGCACAGAACAATA